TCAAATTAGTATATTCTTTTTATTTCAGAATGATATTGAATTATTTATAGTTTATTCGTCTTCCTGGTTTGGACCGTGTCATTTGTGAGTGACCCAAAAGTGGGTTCATCTCGACGTTTCGCTACAATTGTATGTAGCCTCTTCAGGAGAAACAAAGAAAAAGAAAAAGGAAACAAAAGACGGGAAGATGGGTAGTTAGCAACGGTAACTCAGTTACTCAACGCAACCAGAGGCGAATACTAACTACCAAGATGGGCATTTGGTCACAGTAACTCAACTACTCAACGCAGCCAGAGGTGAAAACCAAATGCCAGGACAGGGATTCACGTCCAACAGCTCAGAACACTAACGCGTCGAGAGGCGGGGAGTGAATCCGACGATTACTCCGCTACCGCTATTTATAGTCGCGGTGACCTGTCGTGTCGGGACGTATCGGCACACTCCGTGGCGCGAACGTCAAGAAGCGCGCGCTGGCCAATCATGTGGCTGCATCGTGGTAGCGGGACCGGACGACGGCTCTAGACTGAGATTCCAGATGGGAGACAAGTAGTATCCTTACTCTCGATTGATATTATGTGGATTTTTTCGGATCTCTAGAGATTCGCGGATTTTCCTGGAATAAAAGAAGGGGCTCTTAGAAATAATATGGGTTTTTTCGAACAATATGGAATGACCGGTTTCTTGGCAGTGTTCTGCAACTGCAGAATGGGAGAAAAGACCTGATCGAATGCATCTTTGATGCTCTTGAATCCGAGTTTTGACGGAACGACCAGTTTCGCCAATATACACATGTCCACATGAACAAGGAATAGAATAGACACCACAGGAAGATAGGGGCGGTAATGGGTCCTTAGGAGAGGGTAGATATTGTGAGATTTTCTTGGGTGGTCGAAAAGTAGTCCTGATACCTTCTTTGCGAAGAATTTTGCCAATCCTATCAGTGACATTTCGAATATACGGAAGAAAAGCCACAGGAGTATTACCCGAAGATTCTGAATTTGTCGTCCTAGGGTGTAAAGGGGGATGTAGATGTCGGTGCGTAATATTTTGAATTTTGGACTTGGAGTAACCGTTAGCGACAAGGGTTTTTTGCAGATGGCCAAGTTCTTCTCTAAGGTTGTCGGGTTCAGAAATCGAAATGGCCCTATGGATGAGAGAGTTGATCACAGAATTCTTTTGGACAGGATGGTGGTGTGATGAAGCATGTAGGTAACGATTCGTGTGAGTCTTTTTTCTATAAACAGAGTGACCCAATCGGCCATTGGGCTTGGAGGTGACTAACACATCGAGAAAGGGAAGGGACCGATTATTTTCTACTTCCATTGTGAATTTTATACTCGGATGTTGTGAGTTAAGATGATCTAGGAAGGGAGAATATGGTCAACATACCCTTTCTTCAAAAAATCCACATAATATCGAATAACGAATAAACTATAATTCTGACTCTGGCCGTGGAAGCTTACGATTTCATTGAATTATTTAGTCTGTTTATTTGGAAAAAGTTATACATCGAGTCATGCATGACATGAATCATATTGTTATGAATATAATTCTTATCATCATCATCATCATTGGCTTTTACAACTCTTCGTGAGTTTTTGCCGCGTTTACTATTGCCTTCCATTGATTCCGATCCTGTGCTATTATTTCCCATGGCCTTACTTCCATCTTCTCCAGGTCTTCCCTGACTGCGTCTTTCCACCTTTTTCTAGGCCTTCCTGTCGATCTTTTACCATCTGGTCTTTCCCAAAACACATTGCTAATCAGTCTGTCGTCATCACTCCGTACCACGTGGCCTGCCCATCTTAATCTATTGGCTTTTATGTATCTTACGATGTTTCCTTTCCCGAAGAGAGTCTCTATTTCAAAGAATGATTTATTCCTAGGTATAAATGATTTATTCCTGTGTTTTCATTGGTAATTGTTGCTCCTAGGTATTTGAATTCTTTGACCACCTCAAAATTATGATCGTTTATGGTAATGTTTTGTCTTATTCGCTGTCGTTCCTTTTTTGATACGACCATGTATTTAGTTTTTTCTTCGTTTATTTTCAGGCCTATGCTTAGTGTTGCTTCTTCAAAGTTCTATACTATATCCTTAACTTCCAGTGTTGTCTGTACTACTGCATCTACATCATCTGCAAATGCGAGAATAATCTTTGCTCCTCTGGCAGTTATGTCTGGTTTGACTCTGGTATAGATTTCGCATTGCGTATTCCAATTCTACGTTAAATAGTAATGGGGACAGCGGGTCTCCCTGTCTGAGCCCGGTGCTTATGCCGAAAGCCTTTGAAGTTTTGCCTCCTATTCTAATTTGTGCAAAGGCATTGTTGATACACATTCGAGCAATCATGGTCAGCTTCTTTGGTACGCCTAACTCCATCATTGCACTCCACAGTTTTAAGCGATCTATGGAATCATGTGCTTGTTTGAAATCTATGAAGATCTGGTGTACTTCTTTATTATATTCCCAATACTTTTCTAGCATTTGTCTGATAGTAAATATTTGGTCGATTGTTGATCTTCCAGGCCTAAAGCCGCATTGGTAATCGCCAATAATTTCCTCTGTATGAATATAATACTCTCCGAAATTAATTCTATGTATTGCGTTTACGGCAGTAAACAGAACGAAACGCAATTATCGAGATTTATGTCTGAGAAAAATTTAATTCTCTTGAGTGTCAAATAACCGAGAAATCTATTTAATAACGGAATTAATCAATGTCCTGACATTATGTCGAAATGTGTTTACACAGCAAAATAAAGACAAAACAGATGAATCAACAGCTGGATCATCAGATTGTCGTAACTACACAACGGAGCAAATACTTTCATTTTATAAACGTCAATAAAAACCTAAAAATTCCATTAAAGGAAGAACTGGAATATACAGTCAACGTTTAACTTGCATGGTATGGAACAGGAATGATAACACAGCCCAACAAAATGAACAAATTTGGTGCTTGAGAAATAACGAATTTGAAATATTTTTGATGCTCTGATTGAAAAAGCGACTTCTTTTTCATAGTTTTTTTTTTTTTGGAATCGATGGTATAATTTTAACTTGGCTCAAAAAGATATATACCCAAAGGCACCTGGAAATCACCAGACGGACTTACAGTACCTACTTTATATTTCTGAGGTTGGGAACTGGAATTATACTCTCTGCCACACGAACAAAAAACTACATCTTACACTGCGAATTATATTCTGAAACGGCTTCTTAGAACACACAAATTTGAGGTTGAAGTTAGCACTGGACACAAACTTTAGACTCCGCTTCGTAAAAAAACTGGAACCATGTGGCCATTTTTAAAAGTTGTTGTAAATGCCGGTTTACAAATATCTCAGATGAGAGACGGCATAAAACAAAACAGTGATTACTCCTATCAGAACTGACACATTACCTTGAGTATAAATCACTTTTTTTAGCAAATTTTCCGGTTTTTTCCGACTAAACTAAACGTACCCCCAGCAACTTCGTGCAGTCTGTTTTATCTATTGCTGCTTCTATAGTGGCTTGATGGTTTAATACATTATTTGACGTGAAAATCATATACTTTGATTTCTCTTCATTCAAAACTAATTTGTTGAATAAGAAATAACTGTTGATGGTGGATAGTATCTGTGTAGTTTTATTTTGCAAATTTTGATCAGACGTTCCTGTGACTAGAATGTTGGTATCATTCGCATAACTGATGATGTTAATCCCAGTCAGTGAATTAGTTACCAAAGCTGTATCTTTAATAAATACTATAAAAAGTAGAGGACCCAATACACTACCCTGGGGGATACCATAATGGATATCCAATGTGTTTGATTCGTTTACAAGTTCATTAGATGTTATCTTTACTTTTTGTCTTCTATTCTCTAGGTAGGAAGTAAACCATTTTAGAACTACACCACGAATAACAATCCCCTCAAGTTTTATTAGCAACAAATTATGATCCAAAGTGTCAAAAGCCTTGGACAAATCGAGAAATAAACCACATGCCTTCTCTCGTCTGTCCAAAGCATCCAACACTAAGCTGACGAAATTTGCAAGAGCTGTAGTTGTAGACTTAGAAGATGTAAAACCATGTTGAAAATTATGCAAGACACTATGCTTTTTTAGGAATGCGTTCATTCTAGTATAAACCAGAGTTTCAATTATCTTTGAAAACACAGATAAGAGACTTATGAGACGATAGTTGTTGAGGTCATCTTTATCACCACTTTTGAATAAAGGGATTACAATAGATAGTTTAAACATACTAGGAAATATCCCTTGTTGAAAAGGGGCATTACAAATATCCGTCAGTGGATGCATTGTTTTAATAACTTAGGGGAAATCTGATCAAAACCACAACTGTGTTTGGATTTAAAACTTCCGACTATATTAGTTATTTCCTGTGGGTTAGTTGGATATAAAAAACATAAAACAACTATTACGGTTATATGATGCTGATGTAAACCCACCTATTTTAGTAGGATCCAAAGCGGCAAGTAACTTTGGAGCCATTTCAACAAAATGGTGATTAAATTTGTCTGCTAAATTACTGTTATCATCACTAGGTACTTTTGAGTTATTTTGTTTCCCGACTGTTAAGTTTACTAAATGCCAAATAACTGCCAAAGAACAAGCAGATTTGCTTATAAAGAGGAAGAAGAAGAAGAACTTTAGTAACACATACATAAGTTCCACAAAGCGCAGATGTTCAGAGTTTGAGTTAGAATTTTACTTGAAAATAGATTCGATAAAACAACGTCGTGTGTTAGAAGCTTTGACGTGTGAATATATAGATTTGTTTCGTTTCAATACTTTTTAACATGACATTGATAAAGCGCTGGTTCAAGCGAGGTCTTATATAAATATTTAAATTTTAGACGTTTACAATTAATAGATAAACTAATCTGATTGCATGTGTTTTAGGTTTGGGACAGTAGAAATCACTCGTATTTTTTAGACCAAGTTCTTTTCATAAATGCCACACTAAGGACTATCCAGAAAGATATTGAAATATGGTTACCACGCCCCCACAACAGTTCTGCGTTCGATGGAACAGTTATCAATCGAATCTACAGAATGCGTTTCCGAAGCTGCTCACATCAGAACATTTTGTAGACGTAACGTTAGCATGCGAGAACGAAATGCTGAAATGTCACAAAGTTGTACTCTCGGCCTGTTCGACGTACTTCGAAAAACTGCTATTGAATAATCCTTGTCAACACCCAATTATTTTTATGAAGGATATGAAGTAAGTATTGAAATGTTTTATTATGTACTTAATATCATCATTTATTATTGTGTCTAATAACAAATGAATGATTCTCTATACGCTTGCCGACAAGAATGTAGAACGTTAGAATAATTTTAATAATTTTAAACTGTTTGTCCTTGTGTTAATGTAGTGCTATGTACAATTTATGTCCACTCTCATGTGTATTACATTCTACGCTTGCTGGATAGCCCAAATTTGACGAAATGTTCCTGATGATGCTGTAGATAGCGAAAGTACTTGGGCAAGATTTGATTAAACTTGTGCTCGATATTTGCCTTAATTTTTCAAAGTTCATTTATTCGATCAGTCAACCTCATATCAATTATCTTCTTCTTCTTTGGGTGCCGTCTTCAATGAAGGTTGGTGATAACCTCAGCAAAATCATTTCTGTCCCTGGCTTATTAAAGATTGAGAATCCAAACCAGTCCACTCACGAATGTTCTTCAACCAGGACGCCTGCCGTCTACCAGGACCACGTTTTCCTTCTACCTTCCCCTCTATAAGAAGCTGCAGTAGCTGGTATTTCTCATTTCTGTATATGTGTCCCAAATATGAGGTTTTCCGTGTTTTCATTATTTTTAAGAGTTCTCTGTCTATATAATATATAATATAATATATCAATTATAATACATATTTATTCACAAGTGAATGAAAGCCATATTTATATACCTACATTCATCCATCAGAAATTTCTAATTTTTTTAAACAGCATTTCTCTAAGTCATATGTAGATAACAATAACTGTGATATTCCAAGCTTTGATTGTAATAAAACAGTTAGTTTAAGCAGCTGTGATATTAGTCTAATAGATGTTTTTAATAAGTTAGAAAAATTAAATCTAAAACTTAGTAGTGGCCCTGACGAAATTTCACCTTATTTTGTACATAAATGTCGTTTTGTTCTGTCTCCTGTATTACTAAAAATTTTTCGTTTTTCATTAAGTATTGGCACTTTCCCAGAAGAGTGGAAAAAAAGTTATATTTCTCCTATTTTTAAGAATGGTAGTAAAACATGTATAGAAAATTACAGACCCATTTCCAAAATTTCTATTTTTGCAAAGATTTTTGAGTCACTTATTGCTTCAAAAATATTTTTTTCCAATAAAAAGTTTAATTATTCCTGAACAACACGGCTTTATGCCGGGTAGGTCTACGATCACCAATCTAGTGATCCTAGAAGAATTCATTTTGGATGCCTTTGGGAAGGGGGCTCAGGTCGATGTGATCTATACCGACTTCTCAAAGGCATTTGATCGTGTTAACATCAAGATTCTTATAAAAAAACTAGAGGTACTAGGAATTCATGGATCCCTGCTTGAGTGGTTGGAGAGCTACCTGACAGACAGGCTTCAGGTTGTCAAAGTCAAAAACTGTCTTTCTGAAGAGATTTTGGTTAGGTCTGGCGTCCCACAAGGTGGTCATTTATCGACTATTCTTTTTATTTGTTTCATAAATGACATTTTAGAAATCTTTGAAAATTGTGTTATTTTGTTGTATGCTGATGATTTGAAAATTTTTAGAATTATTAAGGATGTTAGAGACTGTGTAAAAATGCAAAAAGATGTAAATAATTTCTCAAAATGGTGTACAAAGAATGACCTTTCACTTAATATCGATAAATGTAAAATAATGCGCTTTTTAGAAACTCACAACCTATCTGTTTTAATTACTCTTTAAATAATATTGTTACGAATATGCTTTCGGCATGGCCATTTAAACCGATGCATCTCGAAGGATCGAGAAATTACCGGTCATATATCAAGCGCTGTCAAATTCCACCCGTCGTCAGATAACGAATTAGAGATGGGACTAATCCTGAATATTCTCGAACATAGTAACTTTGGTATATATAGGTAACGAAATTAGGAGTTAAGTTTAGTTGATAAGATAGTATCGAACTGTAAAGTTATAAATAAATATATTTATATAAATTCGAACCGCTCGTTTTATTTAATCACGCTACAGTTGGTGTCACCGTGTGAGGACAATTGATTTATTTAAACATAAATTTAACAGTGAACAAAAGAGACTTTTGAACTTTTGAAAAGTATTGTTCGTCGGGAACATCCGCGTAGTTCGGTAGTGATCGTTGTACGAAAGAACATTTATAAAAGTACGTGTGTGCCTGTACAAAGATGCTGCTAGTAGAACTTTCAGTGAAACAGTTGCGTGAGCAACTAGAAGAACGCGATGAAGACTGCAGCGGGTCCAAGAAGATACTCCAAGAACGACTGAAGACTGTTCTGAACAAGAATGGAGACGACCCAGAGATATTCCAGTTCCAGTCAGCAGAGGAAGCAGTTTTAACAAAAATAAAAAATGTGTCACAAATGATTGAAGAATCTTCAAAAAAAAATGATGATAAATTCGAGACTGTTTCCAAAAGATTCGATGAAACGTCTCAAATGATTGAAGAATCTTCAAAAAAAAATGATGAAAGATTCAATGAAACGTCTCAAATTATTAAAGAAACAGCTAGACAAAACGACGAGAAATTCGAAAATATGTCTAGAAGATTCGACGAAGTATGCATTCAGAACAGTGAGAAGTTTGAAGAAGTCTCTAAAACATTCGATAAAGTAGAAGAGAAGATCAAACAATTAGAGACCATGATAAACTAAAACGAAAGTGCTACCACCCGTTAATACGGTAGCCTTAGATCCGGTAGTGAAAGAAGAATCACCGAGAGACGAAACGACACATCATATGAGATTCAAATTGCCACCGTTTGATGGAAAGTCCTCTTGGTCCATATACCTTAGACAATTTGAAGCTATTGCGACAGCCAATCATTGGACAGAACAAGAAAAAGCCGTTTCCTTGACTGCTGCTTTACGAGGTGATGCTGCGGATATCCTAAGATCGATTCCTAAGGGTCAAGAAAAATGTTACCAGACCTTGTTTACTCGACTAGACAAACGTTACGGAGATGCCCATCTACAACAAGTCTACAAGGCGCAACTAAGAAGTCGAGTTCAACGAGCAAGTGAAAATTTGCAAGAGTTTGAAGCAGATGTTGCTCGTATAGTGCGGTTGGCTTATCCGGAGGTACCAGACAACATTTTGGATGAAATTGCCGTAGATACCTTCGTCAATGGGTTAAAAGAAAGTGAATTACAGAAAGCTTTACGACTAGCGAGACCGAAAGTTCTAGATGAAGCGCTCGCTATTGCCTTAGAACATGAAACAGCTAGTCAAACTTCACGGAGCCATCGAGTAAGAACTATTGAAGAAGGCGACGAACCAAACGATGAACGTCTAGAAGAAATGGTACGAAAAATAGTTCATAACACGATGCCGAAGAGACGCGAGCCCAGATGTTGGAATTGTGGTGACGTAGGTCACATTCGCCGTAATTGCAAGAAAATGATACAACAGTCGGAAAACTAGAACGGGTCGACACTAAGGGGCAACTGCCGACCTCGAGAAACACAGCCCCCATAGTAACTGTTAACATTACGTCCTCCGGTGGAATTCATAGCTTGTACATCGAAGGTCGTATTAATAATACATGTATATCGTTTTTGGTAGATACAGGTGCAACAAGAACTATAGCACGGCCAGAAGTAGTACGAGACCATCTTAAATTATTGCCTGCAACAGTAAAGCTTAGAACAGCAACTGGTGAGATAATTAATACATATGGCGAGGCTAATATGTCAGTATCCATTGGCCAGACCACAGTGAAACATCGAGTATTAATTGCAGAGATCTCCGACGAGTTCATATTGGGGATGGACTTACTACGGAAAGTTGGGGCTGTATTGAATGTCAAAGATGGAGTTCTCGAGATCGGTGGCGAAGAGTTGCCGTTTCATGAAGACAAAGAAGATGTTATCAGCTTAATAACTACTTGTGACGTAACAATACCCGGTAATAGTGAGAAAATTTTGATGACCAAACCTGATGGTTACTGCCGAGAGGGAAGTTTAAGGATGGTCGAAGATGTGAACAATGCCGAGTTCCTAACGGCAAAAGCTTTGGTGAAAATTCGAGATGTCGTTCCTGTAAGAGTTATGAATTTAAAGGGAACTGCTATTAAGTTAAGTAAAAGAACTTTGATCGGACAGTGTGTTCCCGTGGCTTCGATTTGTTCCATGAGTACTAATGAGAAACCGCGTCGAAATCTAAGTATCCAAAGGAACTTGTTGAGACGATGATTAAAAACGTGCCAAGATCTTGATGATGAACGAACTAAAAAAGTGAAGTCTATGCTGATAGAATTTCAAGATGTTTTTGCCATTGATAAGAAGGATAATGGCAAAACAAGCATAGTAAAGCATAAAATTAATACCGGAGACGCTCAGCCAATCAGACAACAACCTAGACGGCTTCCATTTGCGAAAAGAGATGAAGCCGAAGACATCATCAAAGATATGAACAAACAAGGGGTAATTGAACCATCAAACAGTCCATGGACATCACCAGTAGTGCTAGTAAAGAAAAAAGATGGTTCAACACGTTTTTGTATTGACTACCGACAGCTCAATGCGGTAACTAAAAAAGATAGTTATCCTTTGCCCAGAATAGACGATACTTTGGATACACTTTCTGGTTCTCGGTGGTTCTCCACACTCGATCTGAAAAGTGGATATTGGCAAGTAGACATGGAGCCAGCTGATCGTGAGAAAACCGCATTCTCGATAGGATCAGGGCTTTGGCAGTTCACAGTTATGCCCTTTGGTTTATGTAATGCCCCGGCCACATTTGAAAGATTAATGGAGGCAGTTTTAAGAGGTCTAACATGGAAAACATGCCTGGTTTATTTGGATGATGTAATTGTAGTAGGAAGATCCTTCGATGAACATGCCAATAATTTGACAGAAGTCTTTCAACGATTGCGGGCAGCAAATTTGAAGTTAAGTCCGAAGAAATGTCACTTGTTTCGACGAGAAGTGAAGTACTTGGGACATATTGTCGCAGGTAATGGTGTAACAGCTGATCCTGAAAAACTTGCAGCAATTAAGGATTGGCCGG